ACTTGGGGATTTCATGGGCAGGAAAAAATAAACGTCAAATGAAGTAGAGCTTTTTAAAAAGGGACCCGAATGGGACAATCACTGTAAGAAACAATTTTTTGTTTGTTTGTTCTTGTAAGCGTTTTACGGCACTTGCAACACAATTGAGTCAATATAAGTGCCGAACATTAAAGGTGTTACAATTGAGTAAAGGAGGAAGGGAGATGAAGACGATAGATGTTTGTTTTAGTAAGAGTTTTACGGCACTGGCAACACAATAAATTCATATATAAGTGCCGAAGATTAAACGTGTTACAAGTCACATGAGATTAACATTCGTAAAAAGGACTTTCATAGGAAAGAGGGAGTAAACCACACCAGAGCACCCGCCAATCACCCACCTAGATGTTTGGCATAAGAGAAGGAGCAAACCACTCCAGACCACCTGCCAACTACGCATTAAGAACAATTAGTTAGAAACACATTATTATGCTGTTCCTTTGGCATTTGAATCGAAAAAGAAAGTCTCTGAACACGACGGTAGATTAGATGTATTTCCATAACCCCTGAGAATACAATGTATTATAATAGTATTTTAATAGACCTAGCATCCGTTACAAAACAACGTCTGTGCATGACGTATCCTATCCATCTTGTTTCTCAAAGAAAAAAGGATGGAAAGACGACAGACCCTCTGGACCAAAAGTGTGGGGGCGTTTCAGCACGAAAATCATGAACATGACAATATTTTACACTGAGGACAGTTTTCAGTCTTAGTAGGGGTTTTAAGGTGTTCGCAACACAAATAAACCGAGATAAGTATCGAAGATTAGAGGTGTTACTAAAGAGTAACATGCAAAGAAAAGACGGAGATGGTATAAGGACGATAGATGTGATATGACAGAAGGAGCGCAGAAAGACGATTGATTCAAGAAAAGATCTGGAGAAAATGGGGACTTGACAAAAGGGACAGGGGGTTGGGGGGGGGGGGGTCATGAGCACCAAGTCAGGACAAAACCGCGAAAAAGACAACTTTGGATATTATAATTCGAAAAAGAAAACACTATAAAGAAGTAGCGCGTGCATGTGAGACCAAATCGTTGACCAATCACCATTCACCAGAAAAATAAATTAAGGGGTGTTTTTGTTTTTGTTTTTACAAGAGTTTTACGGCACTTGCAACACGATAAGGTCATAATATGAGTGCCAAAGATAATAGGTGTTACAAGAGAGTAAACAACAAAAAAAGGAGAGATAAGGACAATAGATATTTGATAAGAAAGAAAGAGCAAGTCACACAGGAGCATCCGCCAACCAACCGCACTAGGGGTGTGGGGGAAGAGGAGGAGGAGGAGAAGAGATGGCGTACTCTGCATAGCACATTTACGAATCTTCCACCTTTTCATCTGATGCAAAATCAACTGCATGTAAAAAAAAAAATACCAACTTCAGTTCCCCCACACATTCCTGGGCACAGACACGAGACAAGACAGAAAATCAATCTCTTTCTCTCTCTCTCTCTCTCTCT